TGTGCACAAAAATCTAAAAACCTGGAAAAAATACCGGGGGGATACTTAAATCCCCCCAAAAGTGACAGAGCGTCCCCTGCGCATGCGGGGATGGGGGGGAACTTACCTCCTCCTCCTGCTTCCTCCTCTGCCTCATGTGTGGAGGTCCCTCCCCCCCCCGCGAGTACCGCGGGTCCCGCCCCTTGTAAAGTTTCTATTTCAGAGCAGCTTTAGGGTTACATAGCATTTATACTCCCTTCTACAGGGAAGAGTGTGCAGCAGTAGCAGCAGCTCTTCCAGCCACATGCACCATTGAGGAAGGGGCATGCAGGTGCCTAGGGGAGGGATCATGAGCAGGCAGGGGCCGGATGCACAGGAGGTGGTGGTGGTGGGGGGGGTACGTGGGTGAAGGCATAAGGGACGTGTGAGCGGGGGTCATGATAGCATAGGAGGGGTTGGGGGGGGGGACCTGATTGCTGTCTGCCTAGGGCCCGTCAAAACCTGGAACTGGCCTTCTCTGAGCAGATTAGCTAGCATTGGTGGTTTCTTTCTTTGTCTTCTTGGGAATACAACTTCTAGCCTTGTCTTAGAACAGATCAAGGACTTGGGTGGGCCGTCAGCGTGTGCCAGTACAGCTGTTATTTTCTGTTCCCATCACATTCCTCTTCCTCTGAGTGGAAGGAATGAAGGGAATACCACCGGTGTCCAGTGTTCCCTCTAAGCTGAGTTAGTGTGAGCTAGCTCACAGTTTTTTAGCCTCCGGCTCACACATTTCTGTCTTAGCTCAGGAAAGATGGCTCCAGAGCAGACGAATTTATGGAGCAGCCAAATCGCTTGCTCACGACTTTAATGCCGGTAGCTCACAAAGTAGAATTTTTGCTCACAAGACTCCACAGCTTAGAGGGAACACTGCCGGTGTCCCCATTCTCTTCAGCTTTCTCCTGAGAACTTTGTAGCCTTAATACTCATGATGGTGTTCATGGCCCCGTTGTTTGTTCCCATGTGGACCATCACAAATGGGTAATGATCTGTAGGTTTGATCAGTTTGGGCATCTGTTCTGCAATATCTTTAACCTTTGCCCCTGGCAAGCCACATACCCCTCAGGTTGCTGGATCAGGCCTGGACACATTCCATTCCATACCCCTCAGCAGAGAACCATAAATGCTAACGTTTTAGCTTTATCAATCACCCATGTACACACACTGTACTACCAAGGCAAATGCTTCATTCCTTCCAAGCATGCAAGTTAGATAGCTTTGCTCTGAAAGCGCTTTTTCCCACTTCGCTTGCTGTGCCTTATTCTGCCACTAGATGGCTGTAATATGTATAACTGGATATATTTTTCCCCAATCTAATAAGCTTCCTTCTGTTTCAAATAAACAAGAGATAAACCTCTGTGGCGCCTCATCTGTTCGTACCTGATTTGGAGGACACAAATTTTATGACTTAGCCAGCACACACAAAAATGTGTAGCAGAGGTGCAAGTAGTAAAGGTGGCAGTACAAAATACGGAAAAGCGGGAGATAGAGGATGTATGATTGCCGCTGATCTATTTGATCAGTTTATTTGCTGAGATATTCAGACGTGCAGTCAGCCTCCTGTGCTTGAGGCTGCAGGAGAGGATTGCTTGCTTGAACTACCAGAAGGTTCCTTCTGCATGTCAGGGGGAAAAGCAGAATTGTATGCATTCTGTAATGCCCTCCTGTTGCCTAAAATGGGCAACTGTTGCCTAAAATGAGCAGAGTTTATAGTATGATACTGGTACAGAGTACCAGGTAAAAGACATTTTTCAAGAGAACCAGCTAAACAACATTTTTCAGGGGTTGCTTAGACATGTTGTGCCGGAAAGCCTACTTTTGCTGAGGTATCAGAAGACATGCATGCGCACAAATGCTTATACCCAGATCCAGGTGGGCAACTGTGTTGGTCTGAAGCAGCAATACAGAATTAGAGTCCAGTGGGGGCACCTTTAAGACCAACAAAGGTTTATTCAAGGTATGAGCTTTCATGTTCAAATACACTAGAATGGTGTCTAAGGTTCAAACTTATAGACAGGGAAATTAACATGTAGCATGATGATGTTTAAGATATGCAGAGTCCACAATGCTGGAAACAAGAGAAAACTCCAGAAATTGGGGAGTGGATAAAAAAACTACTTTTTATGGTTGAAATGGACAAAATGACAAGGAAGCTTAAGAATCAAGAAGAAGAAGAATTTTTTTGCAGATTGGAAAGACTTTAAAGAATATTTAGAGAAATATTGGGATGTAAAAAACAACTTACTTTGCTTTGATAATTATTAGAAGAAAAGTGTTTAGAAACAAGTGTAAAAAATATGTTACCTGTAGGCTTTTTAAGTACCGAGTAAGAAGGTAAAGGGGGAAATATA